AGTTATGTCCTCCTGGTGTATTGACCCTTTAATCATTATATAGTATCCCTTCCTTATCCTTTGTGGTGGATTTTACTTTAAAGTCTATTTTGTCAGAGATTAATGTTGCCACTCCTGCTCTTTTTTGAGTGTGGTTTCCTTGATATATTTTTTCCCTTCTTCGAGTTTTAGTTTGTTTGTGTCTTTAAGTCTAAGGTGTGTCTCTTGTAGGCCAGCATATAGACGGATCGTGTTTTTTTATCCAGTCTGCCACTCTGTCTCTTTATTGTTGCATTTAGTCTATTTACATTTAGTGTAATTATCGATAGGTATGAGGTTAGTGCTGTCATTTTGATGTCTTTTTTTGTGTGTTGTTCACAGTTTCTTTGTTCTACTTAATTTTCTGTGCTGAGTCGTTTTTATTTATGTGTTTTCTTTTCATCTTTTTCATTGTTGTTGATTTTGTGTTTGCTGAGTCTTTATATTTTTCTAGTTTTTTATTTTGACTTGTAGGATTGTTAGTTTCCTTTGTGGGTACCTTAGTATTTACCTCTATTTTTCTAAGTTTATACCAGTCTTTTATTTCTTTATATCGCCTTGACTTCCTCTCCATATGAAAAAATCTATGTCTAGATTTTTTAAGACCCTGTTTTTTGTTTTAATGTTGTCTTCTGTTACGTATTGACATCTGTTTCCCTATTTTCAGTGTTTTAGGTTTGATTTCATTTTGTGACTTCCCTATCTGGGTTGATATCTGGTTGCTCTGTCCTGTGTTCTAGTCTTGGGTTGTTATCTGATGTTACTGATTTTCTAACCAGAGGACTCCCTTTAGTATTGTAATTTTGGTTTGTTTTTGCAAATTCCCTAAACTTCTGTTTATCTGGAAATGCCCTAATTTCACCATCATATTTGAAAGACAGGTTTGCTGGATACATTTTCTTTTAGGAATTTTATGGTTTTAGTTTTCACATTAGATCCTTGATCAATTTTGAATTGGTTGTTGTATATAAGTTTAGTTCTTGACTGATATCTTTAATCTTTAAAGGACTTTGAGAAGTCATCTAGTTTATCCTACTATCTTCAGGCAAAGTGATTCTCAATAAATGTGATGTAGAGGAAAGACTACTATAAGAAACTGAACACTGGTTCTGGCTTTACAGCTAATTAACTGTATGCTCTTTGTCATTTTAACTTCTCAGCCTCATTTTTGTTATCTATAGAATGAAAGGCTTGAGTAGGTGATCTCCAAAGTCTTTTTCATCTCTATGGTTCTAATAACAATAATCTATCCTAGACAGATGGTAATTTACTTTCAAACTGTCATAATGGAAAGTCCACAATGTCTATAATTAACCTCTGCTTTGTTCTGTCTGTGACAGTTTTCACTATCAGAAATTTCTTTCTGATTTCTATCCTAAATCCCTTCATTATACAGATTATACCCTAGTCTACTTAGATTTTTTTCTAAGTTCTTTTAATATTCTTTTCATCTTTCTAACCTAAATTATTCCTGGACAGCCAAAGACTTATTAGTGAAACATAAGGAAGGATTCCCATCAGTAAGTACCATTTTCCCCACTTCGAAATCATTAATACACATGGTAAATGAGACAAGACACAGCACTAATACCCAAAGGCAGTCCATTAGATATTCTGTCTCTCAGGTTGATAAGAAGAGCTTAATGATTGTAGTAGTAGTATCTGGTATTCCCTGCTCTTCCTTCATGACTTTATATATGTCATGCCATTGCCTTTTTGCCTGCATGGTTTTTACTGAGTAGTCTGAGCTTATTGTTATTGACTCTCCTTTATAGATGACTTTTGTTTATCCCTAGCTGCTCTTAAAATTCTCTCTTTATCTTTGGTTTTGGCAAGTTTGATTATATGTCTTGGTGACTTTCTTTTGGGCTCTACCTTATGTGGGGTTCGATGAGCATCTTGGATAAACATCTTGTCTCTCATGCTGTCACGTAAGTTTTCTGCCAGCAAATCATCAAGAATTCTCTCTGTATTTTCTGTTATTCCCTCTTGTTCTGGTACTCCAATCACTTGTAGATTATTCCTCTTGGGAGAGTCCCACATAATTCTTAGGGTTTCTTCATTTTTTTAAAATCCTTTTATCTGATTTTTCCTCAAATAAGTTGTTGTCAAGTGCTTTATCTTCAATCTCACTAATTCTGACTTCCATTGCCTCAATTTTGCTCCTATGACTTTCTATTGAGTTGTCTAATTCTGAAATTTTATTGTTAATCTCCTGGATTTCTGATTGCTGCCTCCTTATGGATTCTTGTAGCCTGTTAAATTTGTCATTTTGCTCTTCTCTTTTTAATTTCCTCTACTGGGTGTTCTGAGTTTTGCTTAATTTCCTTCCTAATTTGTTGAAGAGTTCTGTATATTAATCTTTTGTATTCTGCCTCTGATAATTCCAAGAAATTTTCCTCCTCTGGAAAATTTCTAGATTCTTTATTTTGGGAGCTTGTTGAAGCCATCTTGGATTGCCTCTTTATGTGATTTCATATTGACTGTTGTCTCCGAGCCATCTATAAGTTATTATATATATTTATTTTATATTTGCTTACTGTGTCCTAGGTTTTTGTTTTGTTTTCATATGCCCAAATAGGCTGCTTGTATGCGCTAGTATGATTATTGACACCTTTGAAGCTCTAATGTCCTGTCACCAGGTTGTTAGATCTGTTACTATGTATGTGAGCTCAGGAGTCTGCCCACTCCCCCGTATGGATTCAGCTCAGGTACCCAGGTAGATAGCCACCAAGTGTGTAGTGTAGGCTCTCACTTACAGTCCTAGATAGGCATGGTTGATTGGTGTAGGCACAGGCATCTGGCTGCAGCAGGCGGACACACTCTGAGCAAGGCAGGGGGCTGACGGCCGCCCTCGCATATCCAGGAGGAAGGCGTGTCCCTGTTCCCTAGAATGCATAGGTGGGTGGGTTTTGCAGCTGGACTGTGAGCACCTAATGCTGTTGGCTCTAAGGACTTGGGGGGCACCTCTTATTCATGGGCCCCTATCGCAGGTGGCTAGGTGGCGTGGGTGGAGCCACCAGTCCTTAGGCCCTCGATGTGGGTAGGTGAAGACCCTGCTTAATGGGCAGAGCAGTGTCAAATGTCAAGAACCTGCCACTTCGCTGCTGAAACAGTTCAAGTTGTACTTTGTACTTTGGTAATGAGGGCCTACGCTATTGAAATGGGCTCACACAAGTCTCTGCAGGGGGAAAGGCACTTAAAGTCTGTGGATCCCTTATTCCTGTGCCTAGGCAAAGGAGCTGTGCCTACCCTGAGTTCCTGGCTTAGGGGAGCCAGCAGTTTATTTTTTCCCCGTTTGTTCATTTGTTCACTCTCCAAGGCAGGGAGAATGGCTCTGGGCGTGTGACGGATCCTACTTCCGGCCCAGGGGAGTTGGCAATTGCTGAAGTTGGTCCGGGACCCAGTGCAGAGCAGGGTTCTGGGAGGTAAATGCGAGAGAGGTTTTTCCCTAAGGGGGGTGTTTTTGATCCACTCGGTAGGCCATTCACAATTACTTACCTTTTGCCGACTGAGGGCTGCTTCTCACTGGTTCTGGGTAGCTGTGTAGACTCTCTGGCACTGGGTCTCTCCTGGTGTGGAGAACACGTCTCCTGAGCACTGCCACTTGCCTGCCTCACCACTCACCCCCGAGCTGGTCAGGCCTGAAGGGCTCGGGCTCTTGCTGGGCCAGGTCTGGCAGCTCCTCGCTGTTTCCGAACCATCTTTCCCTCCTGCTGCCACTCAGTCTGGTACCTCAACTCTGCCTTTGATGTTCAGGGCTCCCAGATTGCTATATATAATCAATTCACTTGTTTTTTCCGGTCTTTGTTGTAAGAGGGTCCACTGGAAGCATCTGACTACTCTGCCATCTTGGCCCCGCCTCCAACCACCTGCTTCTTTAAGAGGCACAATTGAAGGCTTTTGGGGAATAGTGGAAGTGCCATTTCTGGGATAATGAGTTTGTTTTTGCTCGTTCACCCAGACTTATGGGAACCGGAACCTGAAGCACGTGGGCATCATCCTGCAGAGGGATGCACTCATTCTGCTCCTCTCCTGCTTCCCCTGCTGGGCGCTTTTCCTCAGCACCGAGCTGATGCTCCTGCTCTTCCAGCGGGACCCGGCCATGTCCAGTATGGTGGGACACACCACAGTGGGATTGGGTGTGCACCCCAGCAGGAAGACCGTCTGATCCAAATTCAGCGTCTGGGAGTTACAAAGACCAGGGACAAAGCCACACCTGAGGCAAAGTTAAGCTTTCTTCAGCTGATTTCTACCTGACCTTAGTGGCGAAAAGTTCAGCAGTTCAAATCCACCAGCTGCTCCTTGGAAACCCTGTGGGGAAGTTCTACTCTGACCTATAGGATTGATATGAGTTGGAATCAACTGAATGGCAACGGGTTTGGTTTCTGGTTTTAATGCTTTTCACACTTGGCACCTAAGATCCAGAATCATCCACTCCTGGGTGACTTCTGTAAATAGTTTTGATTGAAGTTAGATTTTCATGTATCCTCCATGTGGGATGGTAGTTTGTGGAGTTTGTTCATAGTTTAGTGATGCTTGACCTGGTTGATATTAAAATCATCTTGGATGCTTTTAAAAACCATCCATGCCTGGTCTCCACTCCTCCCCACTCTGCATTCTGATTTAATTGTTTGGGGTAAGTCCTGGGCATCAGTATCTTTCAAAGCTCCCCAGACAATGCTAATGTACTGTCAAGCTTGAGACCCATTGAGTTAAGGTGATAAAGACCTTTCCTAAGTTCCCGTCTTAGACCAATGGCCCTGAGCCCAAGGGCATTTGGCAATGTCTGGAGACATTTCTGGTTGCCACAACTGGTAGGAGGAGTATAGGGATGTAGCCATACATCCCACAATGCACAGGACAGCCCCTCACAACACAGAATTACCCAGCCATAATGCTGAGGTTGGAGTCTCTGAGTGGTGAAAACTGTTAACGTTCTCAGCTGCTAACCAAAAAGTTGGAGGTTTGAGTCCACCCGGAGGCACCTTAGAAGAAAGGCCTGGTAATCTACTTATGAAAAATCAGCCATTGAAAACCCTATGGAACAAAAAAGAAAGAAGGAAACCCAAGAATCAGAGAAGGAACTGGACTATCGGACTAAGTGTCTACATGAACCACTGCCTCCTTCAATTTGAGACCAGAAGAAATAGATGGTGCCCAGCTACCACTAATGAATGCTCTGGTCAAGAACACAAATAGATGAATCCTCATAAAAAAGGGACAAAAATGTGGAACAGAACTTCAGATTCTTAAAGAATCCAGACTTAACTGGAGTTATCGAGGCTGGAGGAGTCCCTGAGACTATGGCCCTGAGATGATCTTTACATCTTGAATTGAAAATATCCTCTGAAGTCACCTTTAAACTAAGTAACAGTTTAGCTCAAAGAGTAATGATTGTCACCCTTGAGTACTACAATTGTTTTTTTTTTTTAAAAAAAAACTTGTATAAGACCAAGGGGTCGACAGCTATTTTAAAGCATAGATGGGAAGGTTGAGGGCAAGGAGATTAAGTAAATGGAAGTGAAACAACTAGAACAGAAGTAACGAGCATGTTGACACAATGTGAAGAATGTAACCAATGTCACTGATCATCATGTCTAGAAACTGTAAAATGGGAGCAGGTTTTACTGTGTATATTTTTACCAACAATAAAATTAAATTAAAAAAGAAAGAAAAAAAGTAAATATAGGGATGATTTTGATGGAAGGTATGTAAACCCGTATACCAAGAATTACAAAACATTACATAGAGAAGTTAAAGAAGATGTAAATAAATGAAGAAACATACTGCACACACACAAAAAGAAAAACCGTAGAGAGCACGATTCTACTCTAACACATGTGGTGTTGCCACGGGCAGAATCTACTCATTGGCACCAGTAATAGAGAGGTTGAAAAGAACCTGTCCTCGACCTAAAGACTTGAAAGAACCAAGAGAGGTAATCTGGGTTATAAAATGACAAGTTCTATGTGTCAATTTTCACTTTTGCTCTAGCAATTTAAGCTCTGCAGTTTAGAAAGAGCCAAGAATGCAAAGGGCAGTTCAGTTTGCCTTCATCACCTTTTTTTCCTATTCATTATATAGGCTTACCCAGACCTATATGTCATGATCTTCATTCCAGCTCTTCCTGTAAGTTTTCAAGGGTTAAGAGGTTCCCTTCTTGGGGTCCATTGGTAAAAGGTAGCTGAGATATCCAGAATCCAGTCTTAGCCGATTCTCCCATGTGCTGTTGGCTCCTTCAAGGAATTGTGGTTTTAATTATGCCCATTTAGGATGCAAACATTTGTCCCTTGAAGAAATACCAGGGTTAAGGTGACTCTAGAAGGCCACTGTTCTGTGTCCTATAGCTGGAGGGACCTCAGGGCTCACCCTCGGGGAAGGGTTCAGACTTGTTTTTCCTTTTTGGTCTAGAGGCATGTTCTTACTTATCTCAGAACCCCCGGGGGCATCCCTTTGAGCCTTTAGACTTTTGCTTGCTGAGTGTGTGTTGCTGTCTTACATGATAGTGTGACCACAACGAAGGATCAACCTATTTATTTCAGTTGGACAGTTTGGCCATCTGTCCTCATTGTGTTCTTTAATTTATTCTGAAACCCTTTTATTTTGGTATTTGTGATGATTAAGATTGTGTGTCAGCTTGGCTGGACCATGATTCTCAGTGTTTTAATGTAATCACTCCCATGATTGAATATACTGTGAGTAGCCGGTCAGATGAAAGGGGGTCTCCTTGGGGGTGTAGCCCGCATCTGAATATAAGCAGACGTTCTGGCTTTCTGCTCTCTCTGGATCCTGTGGCTGCCTCCTGTCGTCTTGTCTCCAGTTCTTGGGACTTGAGCTGTCAGCTTGTCTGCTGAACTTGGGATTCGTCGATCTGCACAGCCTGTGAGCGGGACCCTGCTTTCCGACCTGCCAATCTTGGGCTTGCCAGCTTCTGTGGCTGCGTGACTTGGGAGAGGCCTCTACCCTGATCAATTGACTTGGGACGTTATAGCCTCTATAGTCGTGTGAGCTGTTTCCTTGATATAAATCTCTCTCTCTCTATATATATATATTTATACACTTTGCTGGTTTTGCTTCTCTAGAGAACCCAGCCTAAGACCGGATTCTTTAAAAATCTCACTAAATAGGACTATGGTGTAGCCTACATTGGAAGCACCCAACTAGAGTCTGCCCAAGGGCCTCCATTACGCCCAACTGCCTCCAGGAGGGTCTTTACTATGCACCCAAGGAAACTGCACTTCTTTTTGCCAGACCCCTGTGTTTTTCCAGGGTTGCATGGATAACATTCGTATCATAAAAGACATGTATGAAACTCCTTGGACATAAACATCCCCCCATCCTTAGATGGCTATCTCTGTGGCTCCAGTCCTCAGTTTTGGTGTAGACGGGCCATGGCTCCCAGTGTGGCCTGTCCTCCCTGCTGTGTGGCAAGGCTGAAACATTAACCTTCGTCTCTCTTTTTCTCTTATAGGTGACCTTTCTTTATACATTACAAGTTAAATATTTGCTCACCCAGGTAATGATTACTGTTCTTTTTCTTTGGGAGGCTAATGGGAATTGCATGTTTCTGTGGTTAGGGACCTTAAGGATATTCAGGGACAATGGAGGCTGAGATGAAGAGAGCCTGCCTGCTGGAAGCTGCTGAAATGAACACATGGTTCCGTGTTGTGTGTGCAGGACTTTGGTGTTGAGAAGTTTGTTAAGTGATATCAGGGAAAGGACACATTATTTTTGGCTCTGGAAAGTTCCTATCCAGTTCCCATTGGAAATATTGTCACTGGCAGGGTAAGATTAGAGCCATAGTGCTCTTTGGCTTGGTGTTCTGACCCAGTTCTCTGGAAGTGAGTGCATGCATGTCTGCTCCTCAGAGTGGCGCATCAGGCCTGGCTCTCAGGCTGTAGGGCATGAAAGTCCTGTCTAAAAGGCCCCACTTTTCTCAGGGGGGACATGAAAGCGTGAACTGAAGGACACCTCATGTCAGTCAAAATCCTGCATGTATAACAGCACTGGCTAGAGGTCCTGGGACAGTTGCCCTGACTTATTAGGTGTGGATTTATGTTGCCAGCATATGTAGGACTGCTGACATCCTTCCAGATAAATCCAGGTAAGTGGGGGTACTGCGCCATGGATCATGGCAGGGTTTTCTTGATATATGTAACAGAGGGAAGAGAGAGGGGAGAGAGAAAAGAGGACATTTTCCATCAATTTTATGTCTTTTAAAAATGAAGATATTACTTTATTAACAAAACAAGAATATTTCAAATCTTTATTCATGTTAGAATTATATACTTGAAATATCTGTAGCATGGAAAGAAGGAAATCAGTATTTCTGAGCTCTGGGCTGTGTTCTTTCAGTACATAACTTCATTTACAACAGCATAGAAACCTTAGTCCACTCTAGTGCCTTCTTCCTGGTTGTCAGTCTCCCATCAAACGTGCTGGCCCTTAATCTGAAAGTTCTAACGTAACCTATTGGAAAATATGGATGTGAAAACCCCTCTCTCTAATAACCTGAGGCAGAGAGAAAGAACTAGAAGTAGGAGCCATGAGCTGAGAGGGGTCAGGGAGATTTGAACTGGGTTATGGAGGACATGTAGGATCTTCCAGGCAGAGAAGGCAAGGAAGGGCACCCCAGAGAGAGGGTGCCAATTCGAAAGTATGCAAAATACTGTGTGTGTCTAGGATAATGCAGAGTCTGAACTAGTCTACTGAAGTGGGTGGAGGGATACAGTGGGTGATAGAATTGAAGAGGTAGGCTGGCCCAGAGTCAGCTTGTATAGGGCCTTAGATTCTCTGCTGAGGATTTTAATCTGTAGGAACCAAATTAATTGAGAGAGGAAGAGATGAGAGTGATGGACACGTTGTGTGTGTGCTGTTGAGTCAATTTTCATAGCAACCCCATGTGTCGGAGTAGAACTACCCCTAGGGTTTTCTAGGTTGTAGTCTGCATGGGCACAGATCCTCAGCTCTTTCTCCCACGGAGCCGCTAGTGGGTTTGAACTACCAACCTTTTGGTTAGCAGCTGGGTGCTTAACTGTTGCACCACCAGGACTCCTGGTCCAGACCAAAGGTGATGAAGATCTATGATGAAGAAAGAATATCCCTGAGGAAGCAGAGGGAGACCTGGCGGGAGGAATTCTGTAGACTTAAGTGGCTGGTTGGCAGTAGAGACCACGGGAGAAGAAGCAGTTGCACTTTAATCCAAAGTTTCCACCTTGGGGGCCCATCCTGGGAAGACCATCCGTGGAGACAAAAGAGAAGCAGCCAGTTTCTTGGAAAAAGTTATTAACTCTGGTGTGGTCATGTTCCCCTGAGGTGGTAGACCTGCTGCATGCAGAGTGAGGCCGGCAGCTAGAAATTCACATTCTCAGCGTGGAGGTAGTATTTGAAACTGGAAGTGGCCATATTACCCTTGGAGAAGGCACAGGGTGGAAACAAAACCAGAGAAACCCCGGGGGAATACTTGTACTTTTAGGGTGGAGAATTGTCTTAGTTTTATAGTGCTGCTGTGACAGAAATACCACAATTGGGTGGCCTTGAAGAACAGACATTTATTTTCTCACAGTTTAAGAGGCTGGAAGCCCCAACTGAGGGCACTGTAATAGGGAAAGTCTCTCTCTCTGTCAGCTCTGGGGGAAGATCCTTGTCTCAGCATCTGTAGCCCTGGCGTTCCTCGGTTCCTTGGAAATCTCCTTGTGGCATCTGTCTTCTCCATTTGTGTTTGCTGCTGCTTTTTTTATAACTCAGGAGTGATTAGGTTTAGGACATGCCCTACATGGTATGGCTTCATTAACATAGCAAAGAAAACCCTATTTCCAAATGGGATTACATCCACAGGTTAGGATTCCAATACATATGTATATTTTGGGGGGTAGGGAGGAGAACAATTCAATCTGTAACAGGGACTTTGGAAGAGAAGGGGACTAGACTGGGCCTCTTCTTATTCTGTTCCAACGGAAGCTTTTCCTTGCTTGTTCCCAGTGTCCATGTATATGCCCATGACTCCCACATTTATATCTCTAGCCTCCAAAGGGAGTCTTTCCAGCTGCCTGCAGGAGACCCATGCATGTTGCATACTTGACCTGCTACCCTTTCCCACAGACCTGCAGTTCTACTTTCCTGCGCTTTATCTCCATAAGGGGCATTGACCCCTTTCTCTCCTGGTAACTTACCCTTGATAACAGTCCCATCATCCATGACCCTGTCTTTTCCTTCACTCCCACATCTGATCAGCCACCTGGTCCTGTAGGTTCTGCCTGCTCCGTCCCATCCTCTGTGCTACTGCCTTAATTCATTTCTTAACATTTGCCCTCTGTATTCTTTCAGTAGGGGGCAGTGTGGTTCAGTGGTAGAATTCTTGCCTTCCAAGCAGGAAACCTGGGTTTGATTTCTGGCCAGTGCACCTCAAGCACAGCCACTGCCTGTCTATCAGTGGAGGCTTACATGTTACTGTGCTGCTAAACAGGTTTCAGCAGAGCTTGCAGACTAAGAAAGACTAGGAAGAAAGGCCTGATGATTGATGTCCAAAAATCAGCCAGTGAAAAGCCTATGGATCACAGTAGCCTGATCCTGTTGTTCATGGGGTCACCATGAGTTGGGGGCTGACTCTATGGCAGCTAACAACATTCTTTCAGTAGGATTTTAACTAGTTTCCCTGCTGCCAGTCTTTTTCCTAAGCTAACCCTAAACCAGGATGCTTTTTTACTATCATCCTGAGATGTAACTCTGATCACCTAACTCCCTTGCTAAAAGTGCATCAGTGTCTCCAGATCAGTAAGTGGTCCACACAGTGATCAGCCAAGACCCTTGTCCTGGTCCCATTAGCCTTAGACTACCAGATCAAACCTGCCGTCCAGCAAAAAGTTAAGTATATTGACCCATGACAGTGAGGGAGACCTAACACTGGAGGAGCCACGGGACTTCTCAAAGGAAACAGCACAAAGGACAAAGATCATGTTATTATAAAGTTTTGAAGAAAGATAGAGTGTAGATGAAATTTAAACAAAGCTGTGTTTTGATGGGCTTGAAGCAAAACGGGGCTGTGAATCAAGTGTCCACATCAGATCTAGACTGTAAAGTGGACCTGGTTCTGTTTCCTTGAACACTATAAAGTTAAGGTAGAATGTAGACAGATGTAGACTGTTGCATCCAGAAGTTCTTGTGACACTCTGCACCTGGGTTTGAAGTTGAGGGTACTTTTCTGTGTTTAAGAGGCTTCAATCAGCCAGGCAAGAGGATGTTTTATTCTTACTGATATAACTTCAAACAGCAAAAATGCTTGTAGTCTAGATGTTAGAGAACAGAGTTTCTCAGGGAGTAAGAAAGCAGTAGTCATTCAGACAAAGGGTTGGGATGACACTTGCAGCGTGACGTTGGGAGAGGTTTCCTGTTAACTTTGCATTTGGCTTTATCTGTGCCTGTTATTGCAGTGACAAGCAGATTGTTACTTCTTAGACTGATGTGATTTTACTTTCTTACCCTGAAAAAGTCTTATTTGAAGTACAAAATAGACTTGACTTTTCTCCTGTCTCTGTACTTGTGAGGAGTGTCAGATACGGTGTAGTTATTCGACACTCCAGGGTGCAGTGGTGGTTCAGTGGTAGAATTTTCACCTTCCTTTTAGGAGGCCAGGGTTTGACTTCTGGCCAATGCACCTCATGTGTAGCTGCCAACCATCTGTCAGTGGAGGCTTTGATGTTGAACAGGTTTCAGCAGAGCTTCTAGATGGACTAGGAAGAAAGGCCTGGTGATCACAAAGGTTTGGGGCCCCCATGAGTTGGGGGCTGACTTTGCAGCAGCTAACAGCAATATTCCACACTCCAGAAACTCTAGTTTCTTAAAATCTTTTTTGGTAAATTTTCTGAATTTCATTATTGGTCAAGAAAGTATCATATTTTCACCCACTGTCCAATGCCAAAGTGACTTGTTTATACCTTGTAACCCCTGCCAGTCCTTGCACACTTATAGACAAGTCATCTCTCTTACTTCTCTGCTGCTTTCTCATTATCTTCCGATTTCTCTCTGTGGCCAGAGCTACAAACTTATGCCTCAAAGAGAGAAGAGAGGGAAAGATGGAAGTGTAGAAAGGTAGGAGCATCAAGGATATGTCATTGCAGCTAAGTCATCCTAGTATGCTTGTGACCCCCTGCGCAGGCAGGCCAGTTAGAGCCTATGGTGTGTTAGGAGAGCAGAAAACAGCTGTTGTGGTCTGTGAATCTAAAGCATGGTGTGTGGTCTTCTCAACTTGTTTTAGGTAATCATACTGCCCCAGATCATAACTGGAGTTGCAGCCAACCTTGTCAATGCCCTCACCAACTATCTGTTTCTCCATCAACTGAACCTCGGGGTGATGTGAGTCCAGCCGATTCTTGGGACAGAGAAGAATGCCTTGCATGTGGCTTTTTCAAGGGGGGAGAAGAGTAGGACCTTTGGCTGGTTGGATATCATATATGCATGTGGTTTCTTTCTCATCCCACTCTGGAAGCACTGTCAGGGATGGAGATCAATGCTCCTCTGAGAAGAAAAAGACCTTGGAGCCTACTATAGGCTTCCTGGCAAGGAATGAATCGCTCATCTCAGTGCTGGACGCAGTGGGGAAAGAGAGGAGGACAGAGACCTCTCTCTCACTATGTTCGTTCTTTCTAGGCACTCTGCACTGGCAAATACTATTTCCCAGTATATCTTGGCTCTCCTCCTCTTTCTCTACATCTTCTGCAGAAAATTACATCAAGCTACATAGGGAGGTAAGGAATGCTTTTGTCTTCCCACTTGGACATTTGTCTTGTTTAGTTCCAGCCAGATGCCTAGGCATATTGGTAAGCGGACTGTGTCTCTTCTGACTGCAGGGTGGTCCTTTGAGTGTCTAGAGGACTGGGCCTCCTTTCTTCAGCTGGCCATCCCCAGCATGCTCATGCTCTGCATCAAATCGTGGGCCTATGAGATCGGGAGCTTCCTTAACGGTCATTGTGAGGACAGATGATGAAGACTGATGGAAATATTGGGCCCTGTCTAAGAGCAAAGGTCCCTGGGTGGTGCAAATGGTTATCGTGCTTGGCTGCTAACCGAAAGGTTGGCGGTATGAAGCCACCTGGCAGTGCCACGCAAGAAAGTCCTGGTGATCTGCTTCTGAAAGGTCACAGTTCTACTCTGACACACTTGGGGTCGCCATGAGTCGGAATGGACTCTAGCAATGGGCTTGGTGTTTTGCTTGGTCTAAGAGCAAGGAGTTGCTTGTCTCTCACCAGGTATGCTTGGCATGGTGGAGCTGGGAGCACAGTCTGTTGTGTACGAACTGGCCCTCATTGTGTATATGGTAAGTGTCTGAGCACTGATCACTCAGTATTCTAGAGGAATTTGAGAATCAGCTTAGGTGTTTGTAGCATTAAGTAATAACTTATGAAATGGCATACAAGGTAAAATTTCATCCTAGAGCCTGGGGGGACCCTTTTGGTATGGTTGAAGAGGGATTTGGGCAGAACCCCAAATGACCTGATCATTGGTGGTTCTCCCTATCCTAACATAGTTCACATTTGAAAGATTTGATTTTACTTGTACATTTTCCCCCCAATGAGAATCTTTTCCAGTTGTCACACACAAATGTCTTGAGGGGCCAGGTGGGTAGCAGAAAAGACTGAGAGGGTGGATGCATGGCAAGGAATCTCAAGCTACTCGCACCTCAGAGTCCCTAAGTGGTGCGCTTGGGTTAATGCGCTTGGCTGCTGATTAAAAGGTTGGAGGTTTGAGTCCACCCAGAGGTGCCTCAGAAGAAAATCCTGGAGGTATACTTTAGAAAAATTAGCCGTTGAAAACCCCCTGGAGCACAGTTCTACTCTGACACACAGGGGGTTGCCATGAGTCGGAATCGACTTGCCGACAAGTGGAACTTGTATCTTACCAAGCCGAGGTCCTGTCTGGTTTTGAAGCCTTTTAAAACGCTGAGAGCCCAGCCACACACTTCAGCCTGAGACCAGATTGCAATCTCCACGTTAGAATGTGAGCTACTGTGTTAGCATGAGTGTTGATTTAATACACAAAGGCATTTCCTTCATTTTTCCAGGGGGCTGGAATTGCCCACTAAATGACGTGAAGGCTTCTCTGAATTTCCAGTTGATGTTTCCAGTAAAACAAAATTAAAAAAAAAAAAAAAAAGTCTCTAATGACTGGGGGTTTGTCATATTTCCTGTTTTAAGAATCATTCTCTTGAGCATCATTTTTTTTCCCCCCTTCCCTGGGCAGAACTTTTTAGCCTGTATTTTTCACTTAAATGCTTTTTTTTATTTTATATACATTTTTATATGTCAGTAAATCCAGTAACTACATCTAAATCAAATTCTTTTTGACACATAGTATTCCATGGTATGTACTGTAAATTTTAAACCAGGTCCCTGAGTGACACAAATGGTCGAATTGTTAAGCACTCAACTACTAACTGAAAGGTTGGCAGTTTGCATCCACCCAGAGACATCTTGGAAGAAAGACCTGGAGATCTGCTTCTGAAAGTTCATAGCCATGGAAACCCTATGGAACACAGTTCTACTATGTGAAATGCCGTGAGTTGGAATCTACGCGGGAACTGGGTTCTGGGTTAAGTAGCTTAGGGTCACACAGCTGATAAGTGACTGAGTCAGAATTTGAACCTAGACAGTCTACCCTCAGAGTCCCCATTCCTGACCACATTCTTCAATGTTTTTTTAAGCACCACCCCTAATCCCCTCAGCCCCCTTCACAGAAAGGTAACGTTGTTATCAGTTTGGTATTTTCATCATTTTTGGGTTCTGTCTTCTAAACTGTACCCGTTGATGGTCTCTTAGAACAGAAACTAGTTTGGGCTGGTGACAGTCCATCCTGCATACCCCCAGGAGGAATGTGATTGCTCAGGGCCCTCCCCAGCCACCCCATTGCAGAGGCCCAGAGCTCTGTGGAAAAGCCCAGTCCTTAATTACTGTCAGAGCCTGGGGCTCCCAGGTGGACATAGTATATGTTGCCAATTAGGGACCAAGTTTTACCAATGTCTAAGTTTCCTAGGGCTGCTATATAACTGAAATATCACAAGTGGGTGGCTTTAAAGAGTAGAAATTTATTTTCTCACAGTTCTGGAGGCTAAAAGTCCAAATCAGGGTCTTGGCCATGTGGATTCTTTCTCGTCAGTAGCCCTGGGCATTCCTTGGCTTGTAGATGATTCTCACGTGTCCTGTCTTCCCCGGAGTGTGCATGCCTCTGTGTCCAATCTGCTCCTTTTACAACTCAGAAGTGATTAGATTTAGAACTCACCTTACTCAGATATGATCTAATTAACATAGGAAAGAAAACCCTAATTCCAAACAGGATTATGTCCACAGATATAGGGGTTAGGATTCCAGCACATATTTGGGGGAAGCACAATTTAATCCCTAACAACCAACAAGGTATGAAGCATGATTTCCCTGCTTCCTCTTCTTTGGGGAAAGCTCAGAGTTGAGAGCAGAGAGGCATGCGACTTATTCTGTGTGGTCTCACTTTCTCAGTTTCGATGTACGCTTCTTTTTCCTTTTAGATACCTACAGGCTTCAGTGTGGCTGCCAGCATCCGGGTTGGAAATGCACTGGGTGCTGGGAACATTGAGCAGGCAAAGAAGTCATCTGCTGTTGCCATGGTGATCACAGGTGGTTATGCTGATTTCTTCAGTTCCTCTGCCATTTCTGCGTGTGGAAATCCAGTTTTCCTGAAGACGTCCTTTTTTACTTTGCTGTTTCTTCTGCTGTTTTACCTCCAGAGCTCTTTGCTGTCATCTTTTGTATCCTGTTGTCAAGCAGTAAGGATTTCGTGGGATACATTTTCACCACCGACAGGTGAGTGCTGAGCTTTCCATAACAAATTACAACAGAGATTTTCTTGAAATGTGAAACCTGTGGTAAAGAAATGGTCAAGTCTGGCAGATGCTTTCACACTGGACCTCCTCCGGGTGGTACACCTTGGAGGGATATCTGAGTCATTTGCAAAATCAGAAACTCAACTGATGTTACCTGGGAAGAGCTGATTAGGTAGTTTTCAGTAGGAACTGATTTATAATCTAGCATGCCAAGTTAATGGGCATTGATGGTGATTTATGCTTTTGATAGTCAGAATGCTTGTGTATATTACAGAAGGGAGTCCCTTTTTGGAACCATTGATTACATTGGTATCACTGATACCATTAACTACATTTTCAGTTAATTATTTCCTTCCCAATGACATACAGGTGTGTATATAAATATATATGTATACACACACACATATGTATTGGAAGAAAGGCCTGGCGTGATCTACTTCCCAAAAGTCAGCCACTGAAAATGCTGTGGCGCACAGTTCTACTCTGACGTGCAGCATAGGGTTGCTGTGAGTCAGAATTAACGCGATAACTGGGTTATATACATATTATATATATGTACGTATATGTACACACACATATATATTACTATCATCTCAAAAGTTAGCATTTTACTTAAATGTGGAAACACATTCCCACAAAAGTCGAGAGAAAGACAATGGAATTTAAGAACTTGAAAATAAATGATAAAACTGTATCAGAAAACGTAAAGGAACCAACAATGAAAAAGATAAACTGGGGAAACTTGCATCATATATAATGTAAATGGAAAAATCCTTTTACAGTAACAATGAAAAAGATAAACTGGGGAAACTTGCATCACAAACAACTGGCTAATATAAAAGACACCTAGGGAAATCAAGAAGAAGAAGATGAACTACCGAAAGAGAAGTGGTCAAAAAACATAAACAAGTATTTCACAGGAAAATAAATAGCAGTGGCCCTTAAACATGTGAAAAGATGCTCATCCCTATAATAGGAGAACACAAATTCAAACCACAACTGAAAAATACTTTTCATCTCTCAAATTAGAAAAATAATCCTAAATCCCAGAGTTTAACATGCCTGTGGATAAAGCTTTGGGGGAAACAGGCATTCTTACATGTTGCTGTGGGAGTTCAAAGCACACTTGCGCAGTATCTATCAAAATTACAAAAACATTTGTTATTTGGTCCTACTTCGGGCATTTTCTTCTATTGTTAAACCTGTACATATAAGAAATGGAGTTTATACAGGATTATTAATTGCAACATTGTCTGTTGTGGCAAAGACTGGAAACATCCGAAGCGTCCGTCTACACAGGAGACTAGTTAAATAATCTATGGTGGAGTATTAAATGGCTGTAGAAAAGACTGAGAAAGCTCTGTATATAGTGACACAGAAAGATTTCCCAAATGTATTATTAGGTGGAAGTGCAGACATCACATAGAGACAGCCATTAAATTAAATGATAGAGTAGAGAAGGGGAAAATAAGAATACATGTTTGCGTTTGCTTATATTTTCATAACACTGAGCAAATACAGAAACAGTTACTAAGAATTGCTACCTGGGGATGAAGGTGGAAATGGGGTGGGCTGGGAAAGGAGTGGAAGTAAGACTTTTATTGATAAGGCTTTCTATATGATTTTGATTTATTTTAAACATTTGCATATATTATAATAAAAAAATAGATTTGAATAAAAGAAATGTAATTCTGTCCTTTTTCTGGTGGGGGAGATGGTCATTTTGTTCATTGCTGGATTTCTTATTTATTCAACAAATATCAATGTTCTGAGTTAAATCGTGACTAAACTCATTCAGAGTCCTGAGTGGTGCAAGCACTACTAACCTAAAGGTTGGCTGTTCAAACTCATCCAGAAGCACCTTGGAAGAAAAGTCTGGCAGTTTGCTTCTGAAAGGTCACAGCTTTAAAAACCTTACAGAGCACAGTTCCGCTCTACACACATGGGGTCGCCAGGAGTCAAAATCAACTGAATGGCAACTAGTTCTGTTTGATTTTTGGAAACTCACTCAAGGGGATTATGAATTTCTTGCCTTCCCAGATCAGTTGGCAGTATTTTTCTAGTCTCTTCAAGTGATCTCTGTGTTGTTGTTGTTGTTAGGTGCTGTTGAGTTGGTTCTGACTCATTGTGACCCTTTGTGCAACAGAACGAAACACTGCCTGGTCCTGTGCCACCCTCACAATCATTGCTATGTTTGAGCCCATTGTTGCAGCCACTGTGTCAATCCATCTCGTTGAGAGTCTTCCTCTACCTTACCAAGAATGATGTCTTTACCCAGGGAATGGTCCCTGCTGATGACATGTTCAAAGTATGTAAGACAAAGTATCACCATCCTCACTTCCAAGGAACATGTTTTGGCTGTACTTCTTCCAAGACAGACTTGTTCATGCTTCTGGCAGTCCATGGTATATTCAGTATTCTTCACCAGCACCATACTTCAAATGTCTCAATTCTTCTTCAGTCTTCTTTATTCATTGTCTAGCTTTTGCATGCATATGAGGCGATTGAAAATATCATGGCTTGGGTCAGGCACATCTTAGTCCTCGAAGTGACAGCTTTGCTTTTCAACCCTTTAAAGAGGTCTTTTGCAACAGATTTTCCCAATGCAATACATCATCTGATTTCTTGACTGCTGCTTCCATGGGCATTGATTTGTGGATCCAAGTAAAATTAAATCATTAACGACTTCGATATTTTCTCCATTTATTATGCTGTTGCTTATTGGTCTAGTTGTGAGGATTTTTGTTTTCTTTATGTTGAGGTGTGATCCATACTGAAGGTTGTAGCCTTTGATCTTCATCCGTAAGTGCTTCAAGTTCTCTTCACTTTCTGCAAGCAAGGTTGTGTCATCTGCATATCGAAGGTTGTTAATGAGTCTTCCTCCAATCTTGATGCTACCTTCTTCTTCATATAGTCCAGCTTCTTGGATTATTTACTCAGTATACAGACTGAGAAAGTATGGTAAAAGGACACAACCCTGACACACACCTTTTCTGATTTTAAACCATGCAGTATCCCTTCATCCTGTTTGAACGACTGCCTCTTGGTCTATGTACAGGTTCTGTGTGAGCACAATTAAGTGTTCTGCAATTTCCATTCTTCGCAATGTTATGCATAATTTGTTATAATCCACACAGTCAAATGCCTTTACATAGTCAATAAAACACAGGTTGACATCTTTTTGGTATTCTCTACTTTCAGCCAAGATCCAGCTGACATCAGCAATGATATCCCTTGTTCCACATTCTCTTCTGAATCTGGCTTCAATTTCTGGCAGTTCTCTGTCGATGTACTACCGCAATCGTTTTTGAATTATCTTCAGCAAAATTTTACTTTCATGTGATATTAATGATGTTGTTTGATAATTTCCAAATTCTGTTGGATCACCTTTTTTTGGAATGGGCACAAATATAGATCTCTTCCAGTCAGTTGATCAGGTTGCTGTCTTCCAAATTTCTTGACATAGATGAGTGAGCACATCCAGCACAGCATCTGTTTGTTGAAACATCTCAGTTGGTGTTCTCTCAATCCTTGGAGACTTGATTTTTGCCAGTGCCTTCAGTGCAGCCTAGACTTCTTCCTTTGGTACCGTTGGTTCTTGATCATATGTTATCTCCTGGAATGGTTGAACGTCTACCAATTCTTCTCAGTACAGTGACTCTGTATATTCCTTCTATCTTCTTTTGATGCTTCGTGCATAAAAATATCGTTGAATATTTTGCCCATAGAATCCTTCAGATTTGCAACTCGAGGCTTGAATTTTTTTCTTCAGTTCATTCAGCTTGAGAATGCTGAGGATGTTCTTCCCTTTTGGTTTTCTAACTCCAGGTCTTTGAATATGTCATTATAATACTTTGCTTTGTCTTCTCCATCCACCCTTTGAAATCTTCTATTCAGCTCTTTTACTTCATCATTTCTTCCATTTGCTTTAGCTGCTCTAAGTTCAAGAGCAGGTTTCAAAGTTTCTTCTGACATCCATGTTGGTCTTTTCTTTCTTTCCTGTCTTTTAAATGACCCTTTGCTTTCTTCATGTATGATGTCCTTGATGTCATTCCAACCGTTTGTCTTGTCTTCAGTCATTAGTGTTCAGTGTGTCAAATTTGTTCTTGAGATGGTCTCCAAATTCAGGTGGGATATACTCAAGGTCATATTTTGGTTCTTGTGGACTTGTTTTAATTTTCTTCAGCTTCAGTTTGAACTTGAATATGAGCAATTGATGATCTGTTCTGCAGTCAGCCCCTGGCCTGACTGATAATATTGAGCTTTTCCATTGTCTCTTTCCACACATGTAGTTGATTTAATTGCTGTGTTTTCCATCCAGTGAGGTCCATGTATATAGTCACCATTTATGTTGTGAAAAAAGATATCTGCAATGAATAAGTCATTGGTCTTGTAAAATTCTATCATGTTATCCTGCCATCATTTCTGTCACCAAGGCCATATTTTCCAACTACAGATCCTTCTTTGTTTCCAACTTTTGCATTCCACTTGTCAGTGATTATCAAAGCATCTTGATTTCACGTTTCATCAATTTCAGACTGCAGAAGTTGCTAAAAATCTTCAATTTCCTCATCTTTGCCCTTAGTGGTTGGTTTGTAAATTTGAATAAAAGTCATATTAACTGGTCATAAGTGTATGTATATTATCCTATCACTGACAGCATGGTACTTCAGGATAGATCTTGAAATGTTCTTTTTGATGATGAGTGTGATACCATTCATCCTCAATTTATCATTCCTGGCATAGTAGACTATATGATTTTCTGATTCAGAATGGCTAGTACTAGTCCATTTCAGCTCACTAATACCTAGGATATACATTTTTATGGTTCCATTTCATTTTTGATGACTTCCAGTTTTCCTAGATTCATACTTTGTACATTCCACGTTTCTGTTATTAATGGATGTTTGCAGCTGTTTCTTCTCATTTGAGTCATGCCACATCAGCAAATGAAGGTCCCAAAAGCTTGACTCCATCCACGACATTAAGGTCAACTTTACTTTGAGGAGGCACCTCTTCCCCAGTTGTCTTTTGAGTGCCTTCCAACCTGAGGGGCTCCTGTTCTGGCAATATATCAGGCAGTGTTCCGCTACTATTCATAACAATTTCACTGGTCAGCTTTTTTCTGAAACAGATCGCCAGGTCCTTTTTCCTAGTCTGTCTTAGTGTGGAAGCTCCGCTGAAACCTGTCCACTGTGCGTGACCCTGTTGGTATTTGAAATACTGGTGGCATAGCTTCCAGCATTACAGCAACACACAAGCCACGCAGTAGAACAAACTGACAGACATGTGGTGGTTCTTGGTGGTATGAGGTCCCCGTGTAGACATTAAAATCTCTGTGTAAACCTTAAAATTCAAGACTCTGGCTTTAGGGGTTAGGCCCCATTTCCAGGAACCAAGGGTAATTCTGCAAAATACGTCTATGGCTTTTGTAGCTTGCTGACCTTGGTTCTGTAGAGAGAGCCTTAGCCCCTACTCTGTTGTGCCCTAAGAGGCACATTCAGACTTGGTCTTTGGAGTCATGGTGAGAGGATGAGGTAAAGGGAGCCAAACAACCTGATTTAATTCCTCCATTGACCAAATGGAATACATATCTAAAAGTCGTGAGATACGATGTATAGTTGGTTTCATTTACAGGCCAACACATGGTAGAAATGTCTCTAAATAGTATGTTGTTTGGAATGCATGAGGCATTTCAGACACAGAAGCCAAGCATTGCTTAGCTGTAGCAGAAACTAGGTCTTATCCTGGCAACTGTTTATTTCTTCTTTCCCACATGTTTGTCTCCTACTAATCTCTGTGTGTTTTATTTTGCTAACAGAAATCATTGCTCTGGTGGCTCAGGTGGTTCCAATTTATGCTGTTTCCCACCTCTTTGATTGTCTTGCTGTAGGTACTGTGCAGTATTCCCTTAAGCTTTTTTATGATATATGTATTTCTTCTGATTATAGTAAATTTAAATTGCAAAGAGGGTCTAGGGTAGGTAGGTAATACTGAATATTTTTAGTATATTCAGATTACAAGAATACTGACATATGATCACAGATTTTAATCCCACGGGATGATAAAGGCTCAGGAGATGGGAGTCTTTTAGAAGCACTGATTGTGGTAGATGACTGGCCAGGTATTAGCAATGTTCACACTGATGGAATGTTATCTGCCTTACAGTGCACATGTGGTGGAATTCTGAGGGGAAGTAGGAATCAGAAGATTTGAGCCATTCTTAATGCCATTGGATATTATGTGATTGGCCTCCCTATTGGGATTTCACTGATGTTTGCAGCCAAACGTGGAGAGATAGGTAAGCAGTCAGAGCTTAGTTAATCATGGGCCCAGGAAATGACTGTAGGTGTTTATTTATTTGTTTATTTTTGAGGAGTCTTGGCTCTGGAACTATGCTGCTTTCTTACATTCTTTCTGTGCTGTCTTGTCAGAGACAGCAGAGAGGGGCAGGAGGTAGCATGCAGACCTGGCCAGGGCCCCAGGTCCACTTGTTTGTATCCCCCTTGCCCATGCTTGCAATCTTCTACACTGACACCTTCGAGCAGAATAAGATGTCCTTTCTAGTTATCTCCCTGTCCTGACTCAACACCTTCTCACTTTAAGAGGAGGTGACAACAGGCACTGTGGAGGAAGCATTCAGAAATGCACCCTTTGTGGACCCAGTTCTGTTCCTTTAGTGACACCCTTTGTATGGTGGGACCCTGAGATTATGTCTGCAAGAGTGAAGACATTGTAGACTGGCCAGCCTGGAGTGATTGGGGTGAGGAAGGGGAAGCTGTGGTCAGCCTTGGTGTGATTGTACAGAACTTGTGGTGGCTGTGTACCTCCTGGAGCAACGTGCCCTGGTGTTAGCCCAAGCAGTGTGGCAGGACCCACAAGGAGTAGATACATGCAGAGTGTCTCTAGAGCTATGGTCTCATTGTGACCCTTGTCCCATTCTACAGCCTCCACCTCTGGCCAGCTACAACCTTTTAGTGTGTTGTGGGTCTCTCCACAGGGCATGGGAGTGTTGTGTGAACAGTACAGAAGAAAGGCTGGGGAGCACTTCTTCATCAGCTTATTAGATTCAGAGGAAAGAACTTAATCCTCAGCATCTGAAATCACCAGAGCTAATCTTCTAAAAAGTAGAGAAATACAATGCTTCCCAGCTTTGATTTCTAAAATAATAATTTGGAAAACATTGGTAGATAATAAATGATTATATTAAAACTTATCTTTTGGGTGAGCTAGAGATTGGCTTTGGCTTGGTTCATTTTTATCAAAGAGTACTTGGCAGGCTCAGAGATGGTAAGAAGTCATCTGATACCTAGAGCAAACTTCGAGTCCAATATGTTCCATATTCTTCTCAAGTTCAATAATATTTTAATGAAAAATATGGGAGATGTTCAAGTAATGGAGTGGCCAATGCAAAGTTCACTGAGTTTGCACAATGGTGCAGAAAATGATTTAGCTGCATTTCTGGCATTATTCATATTTTGGATTTGCTGGTGGCATCAGTAATGGAAATATTAGAGGAGACTACTCTATAGATCCATCTATGTTCCAAGTGGAATGTTAGTTCTCTTATTCATTTAACAAAGGCATATCTACTATGTGCAAGGTAGAAGATTTAAGAACCACTTAAAAGAAATGATGGGGAACTCTGGGGTTGTGAGGGCTCTGCTGAGAAGACTGCAGTCAATCCCTGCCACCACCTTTCAGAAGAAAGTATAGTGTTAATTGGTTTTGAATATTGAGTCACCTCTGGCAGGGTGTGTTGCTACAGATTCTCATGAGCAACTCTAACAATTCGTAATGGTTGTTATAATTTTCTGGGAGTCTTTTCAAACACACAGTATATGGCCCCTTCGTCCTCTCTCCTAGCCAACTGACATGGCTTAGGTAATTCTGACAATCAGACTATTGACAGTGGTGGCTCAGTGGTAGAATTCTCACCTTCCATGCAGGACACCTGGGTTCAGTTCCTAGCCAGTGCACCTCATGCCCAGCTAGCACCCATTTGTCAGTAGAGGCTTGCGTGTTGTTATGATGGTGAACAGGTTTCAATGGAGCCTCCAGACTAAGACTGACTAGGAAGAAAGGCCTGGTGATTGACTTCTGAAAGTCAGCCAATAAAAACCCTGTGAATTACAACCGTCTGATCCCCATCTAATCATGGGTGTGGCACAGAACTGGGCAGCATTAGGTTCTTTTGTGCACGGAGTTGCCATGAGCCAGAATCCATTTTTTTGGTTATGGTACTTTTTATTTGGTTATGGTACTTTCAGGGTGCCCTGGTGGTGCAGTGGTTAAGCACTTGGCTGCTAACCAAAAGGTTGGTCATTCAAACCCACCAGTTGCTTTGCAGGAGAAAGATGTGGCAGTCTGCTTCCGTAAAGATCACAGCCTTGGAAACCCTGCAGGACAGTTCTACTCTGTCCTTTAGGGTTACTGTGAAGTCAGAGTCAACTCAATGACAGTGGGTTTGGTTTTGGTTTTGGATAGTACTTTCAGTGCTCCAGGGCTTCCCATCCTTCATTCCCACTTGGCCTCTCCTTTCCTGTTCTCTAATCATCTCTGGTGGATAACTCTGGCCTGGCAGCTTCCCAGAAAAGTCTGTGCTCAAAGCAAGTAAGGCCCTGCAGGAAGTGCTAAAGGAGGAGGCGTTATTAATTTATATGGCTGGTGATTTCTGCTTTTTTTTATGTCTATCACACCAGCTGCCATCAGGTCATTTCCAGCTCATGGCGATCTCATGTGTGTCAGAGTGGAACTACACTGCATAACATTTTCAATGGCCAGTTTTTTTGGAAGTAGATTGCCAGACCATTCTTTAAAGGTGCTTTTGGGTAGACTTGAACTGCCAACCTTTTGGTTAACACCACCCAGGGACTGCTTTTTTATTTTGTCCCCTATTTTGAGGAAAATCAGGCAGGAGTAGTTTGTCCTGACAGTTTCTGTGATTGCCAAGCCTTATGATCACAAAGGCCAAAAAATGCCTCTGAACATTTGTTCTGATCCCTAGAATTACAGACGGTGGCCTTAGGGAGTGCTGGGTGTCTCCGAGCTTTCTGGGAACCGAGCAAGAGGGCGGGTGGAAGGCTTCTCACCCACCGTGGGCCTACCTCAGCTGTGTCAGCAGATACTCAGCATGGCCTACAGAAGTGAGATACAAGAAACACACTTCCCAGGGTGGTCGGTTTTTCCTGAATTAACTTCTATAAAATATTTCCGCTTCTAGGTCTGTGGTCAGGAATCATTATCTGTGCAGTCTCCCAAGCTGCGTGTTTTCTAGGCTTTATTGCTCCGCTAAATTGGAAGAAAGCCTGTCAACAGGTAACTATGCTCATGACTGTTGCAGTAAAGATTCCTCTCCTAGAAAACAAGCAGGATCATATTTGGCTAGCTCTTTTATGTTTTGAAAAGTTCTTTTCTCTTTTATTGTTAATGCTTTTGTTTGTTTGTTTCAACTGGATTTAATTCAAATGTAAAGGGCCAGATGGCCCTGGCTTTATCCATTCCCCTTGTTTATTAGTTGAATAGAAAAATACAAGGTTCCTTTCTCCCTTGCATCCTGTGTTAGGCTATCTCCTGAAATGCCAATTTCAGGACAAGAATTGGAATTTTGAAGAAAGATAGGATGCCATCAAATTCATCCTAATATTGTTTTTTATGACCCCAAAATATTTTGTGAAGAAACTTGTGTGTATCCTTCTCTTTAGCTTTCTCAGGTCAACACTGAATATAAAAATAGTTGGTAGATAAAGGAGATGAAGTAAAGAGAAGGGAGAATTCTAAATGATCTTCTGTCTCCTCTCTCAGCTTGTACTTTCTCTCTCCAGTACTCCTCCCACCCACTGCTCCCATTTCAATCTTTATGAAAAATGATGCAAAATCTGTGAACTGAAGAAACTTAACTTTACCTGTCAGTTAGGAAAATGGCTTGGCTTTTCCTATATTGGTCAAGTAGAATGTTTTTTTTATTAACACTTGTAAAGCCTTATGAACTGACTTTGAGTTTCACTTTCTAGGCTCAAGTACATGCCAGTTTGAAACTAAAAATGGCCCCGGTTGGGAATTCTGCTGTCTCTCAGGATCTGCTTTATCCAGGTGTGATGTTAAGTACCTCAGTTCTTTGAACAGACCTGCCTAGGTGGTACTGGAGGTGCCATATGTGGGACACAGCTAGATTTGCTGCTGTGAACTCCCACTTAAATAGGGCAATAATGTTTCAGAAACAAATGATAACTTTAAGTGAGGTCAACCAAAACCAATTGTTGTCAAGTAGACTTCAACTCATGGCAACCTCATGTGTGTTAGAATAGAACTGTGTTGCATAGGGTTTTCAGTGGCTGATTTTTGAAAGTAGATTGCCAGGCCTTTCTTCCAAGGCACCCCTGGGTGGATTGCATCACCCAGGTATTTTGCAAGTGAGGGCAAGTAACACCTAATTTGAAGTAAATTGACATAAAGTTTATATGCTTTAATATCACACATTAACATACTGCTGTTGAGCCAGTGGATATCCTATGAATAGCCCTGGTAGCACAGTGGTTAAGAGCTCAGCTGCTAACCAAAATGTAGGCAGTTCGAATCTACTAGCCACTCCTTGGAAACCCTATGGGGCAGTTCTACTCTGTCCTTTAGGATCATTATGAGTTGGAATCAACTCGATGGCAATGAGCAATGGGAGAGTACTGAGAGTGGCTCTAGAGAAATAAAACAGTAAGGATGAGTTTTCTAAATTGCTTTTCAAGTCTGACTAGTCTTAAGGTGCTGATGACCCTGCCTCCAGTAGTAAAGAGGGCACTGCTAATCCATGGTATGAGGTGGCAATATTAATATGCAAAATATCACCACCAATAGGTCAGGTATTGGTGAGAAGTGAGGCTCTGGGTGATCACATGTTTGATACTTTTCTACAATTTTTCAGAATGAGAAGTATAGGGAAGCTGGTTGGTTGGTCCTACTTTTGATAGACAAAGTGGTGGGAGAAAGAGATGAGCTCAGGTCTTCAGAGTCCCAGTTCAAACACTGCATAAAAGATATGAAAGTTGCTACTTGTGCACTGAAAGAAAGCCTTATTTTTTACAGTAACAGAGCTGATATTGCTGCAAACCAAACCCAGAGTCTTATCGTAAGAGTGGCCGAATTACAGTGCCAATTGAATTCCCAAACTCGAATGGTGTCTGAAGTTAAAGTAGGGGCATTGATTGAGGAAAATAGGGTCCTAAAACTTGGAATGGGGACGTATAGGCAGATAATCAGGAAGGTGGTGACAATGAGCCCCTCAATTCTGTTGAATCACTCCTGCCAACACAATCAGCCCTCTTATTCCCATCTGAAGAGATTACTCCATCTTTGTCTGCTAAGGCATACTCCCCAGTAAAACCGTTACCCCTCCACCTCCATCAGATGAGATTAACCCAGCTGTGTCTGAAGAGTCTTTGGCTGAGATAGTGCATGGGACAGAGCCTGGAGCATTGCCTGAGGTAGATGCCTTACAAGACATTGCTGAATGTTCCCAGGATCCACCCCCACTACCCATTTTTGCTTCTAGACCTATAACTAAACTTAAGTCCCAGCGAGCCTCAAGAAGTGATGTACAAAGTATGACCCAGGAGGAGATAGGCTATACTCCAAAAGAACTGCTTGACTTTTCTAATACGTACAAACGGACACCTGGGGAATATGTGTGGGAATGGCTGTTAAGGATGTGGGATAATAGTGCAGGGAACATAAAATTGGATCAGTCTGAGTTTATTGATATGGGCCCACTAAGCACAGATTCTTCATTCAGTGTTTCGACTCGAGAGGTTAGAAAAGGATCTAAGAGTTTGTTTGGTTTGCTGAAGCATGAATTAAGCAGTGGCCTACAAGTTGAAGTACCAGACCTGCCTTGGTATACTGTAGAAGAAGATATCCAAAGGCTTAGGGAAATGGGCATGTTACAGTGGATTTATCAGGTTAGACCCACAATACCCACATGCTGAGTGCCCAGAGGACACATCTTTTACCACAACGGTGAGGAACAAATTTGTGAAGGGAGCCCCAGCATCCTTGAAGACTACTGTGATTGCTATTTTATGTAAGTTAGGATTGACAGAGGGAACTTCCCTAAATGAATTAAGACACTAACTACAATGGGGCTGTTTGAATCTTGTGCTGGTAGAGGACAAGTGGTGGCACTCAGTCGACAAAGACAAGGAGAACATGATTACCATAATGAACAGTGGATTCAGAGCAGTAATCAGAATAGTCTGACTTGTATGAACTTACGGCATTGGCTAAATAGTCATGGTGTCCATAGGAGTGAAATGGAGAGAAAATCTATTATAAGTGGAAGAATTCTAGGTCAAGTGAACAGCAGTCTAACTTGAATTGCCAGAATAGAGAATCACAGCCCCTCAATCAATTCCCAGACTTAAGCGAGTTTACAGACCCACAAACCCTTGAATGAAGGGGAGGCCAGGTCCCCTTGAGGAAGGACCAACTACGCTACCAAAAATTTATACTGTTAATCTTTATCCCAGCCTTCCCCAAAGGGATCTAGGGCCTTTTACGAGAGTGACTGTTCGTTGGCGAAAAGGAAATAATCAGACTTTTTGAGGATTACTGGATACTGTCTCTGAACTGATACTAATTCCAGGAGACCCAAAATGTCACTGTTGCCCACCGGTGAGAGTAGGGGCATATGGAAGTCAGGTTATTAATGGAGTCTTAGCTCAGTTTTGTCTCCCAGTGGGTCCAGTGGGTCCCCAAGCCCATCCTGTAATGATTTACCCAGTTCCAGAATGCATAATTGGAATAGATATACTCAGCAACTGGCAGAACCCCCACACTGGATCCCTGACAAGTGGAGTAAGGGCTATTAAGGCAGGAAAAACCAAGTGGAATCCATTCTAACTGCCCCTACCTAGAAATATAGTAAACCAAAGGCAATGGCACGTTCCTGGAGGGATTTGTGAAGGGAGCCCATCAAGGACTTGAAGAATACAAGGATGGTGATTCCAACCATATCCTCATCAACTTACTGTTTGGACTGTGCAAAAAACTCATGGATCTTGGAGAATGACAGTGGATTACTGTAAACTTAACCAGGTGGTGACTTCAATTGCAACTGCTGTTCCAGATGTGGTTTCATTGCTTGAGCAAATGAATACATCTCCTGGTACCTGGTATGTAGCTAATGATCTGGCCAATGCCCTTTTCTCAATTCCAGTTTCAAAGGACCACCAAAAGCAGTTTGTCTTCAGCTGGCAAGGCCAGCAATACACCTTCACTGTTGTACCTCAGAGATCAGCTCTCCAGTCCTACGTCATAATTTAGTCCATGGACCTTTTATTGCCTTTCCTTTCCACAAGACTTCACGTTGATTTATTACACTGATGACATTATGCTGATTGGGCCTAGTAAGGAAAAAGTGTCGACAACTCTGATCTTATTGGTAAAACATTTGCATGCTAACCAAAAGCTGTTGCCATCAAGTCAATTCCAACTCATAGAGACCCTGTAGGACAGAGTAGAACTGCCCCATAGTGTTTCCAAGGAGCAGCTGGTGGATTCGAATTGCTGACCTTTTGGTTAGTAGCTGAGCTCTTATATACTATGCTACCAGGATTCCATTTGTGTGCTAGAGGGTGGAAAATTAATCCCTCAAATATTCCAGGGCCTTCCACCTCGGTAAAATTTCTAGGGGTCCAGTGGTATGGGGAATGTCAAGATATTCCTTCTGAAGTGAAGGATGACTTGTTACATCTGGCTTCTCCTACAACTAAAAAGGAGGCACAAAGCCTGGTGGGACTCTTTAGATTTTGGAGGCAACGTATCCCTCATTTGGGTGTGCTACTCTGGCCTATTTATCAAGTGACTCAAAAAAGCTGCTAGTTTTGAGTGGCGCCCAGAACAAGAGAAGGCTCTGCAACAGGTTCAGGCTGCTGTGCAAGCCACTCTGTCACTTGGGCCATATGATCTGGCTGATCCAATGATGATTGAATTGTTAATTGCAGATAGAGATGTTGTCTGGCGTCTTTGGGAGGCCCCTATTGGTGAATCACAGGGCAGATCCTTAGGATTTTGGAGCAAAGCCTGCCATCCTCTTCAGATAATTACTCTTCTTTTGAGAAATAGCTTTTGGCTTGCTACTGGGATTCAAGAGACTGAATGCTTAACCATGGGACACCATGTCACTGTGTGGCCTGTGATGGTTAAGATTGTGTGTCAACTTGGCTGGACGATGATTCTCAGTGTTTTAATGTAATCACTCCCATGATTGAATATACTGTGAGTAGCCGGTCAGATGAAAGGGAGTCTCCTTGGGGATGTGGCCCGCATCTGAATATAAGCAGACGTTCTGGCTTTTTGCTCTCTCTGGATCCTGCGGCTTCCTCCTGTCGTCTCATCTCTGCTTCTTGGGACTTGAGCTGTTAGCTTATCTGCCGAACCTGGGATTTGTTGATCTGCACAGCCTGTGAGTGGGAGCCCTGCCCTCTGACCTGCCAATCTTGGGCTTGCCAGCTTCTGCGGCTGCATGACTTGGGAGAGGCCTCTACCCTGATCAATGGATTTGGGACGTTCTAGCCTCTACAATTGTGTGAGTGGTTTCCTTGATATAAATCTCTCTCTATATATATATTTATACACTTTACTGGTTTTGCATCTCTAGAGAACCCAGGTTAAGACACGGTCCGAGCTGCTGTTCATGAACTAGGTGTTGTCTGACTCACAGAGTCATAAGGTCAGATGTGCACAACAAGACTCCACCATTAAATGGAAGTCGTATATATGAGACTAGGCTCAGACAGAACCTGGAGGCACAAGTAGGTTGCATGAGGAAGTGGCCCAAATGCTTATGGTCTCCATTCCTTTCACATTACCTGCCCTCTCCCAGTCTGCACCTATACCCTCATGGGGAACTCCTTATGATCAGTTAACTAAGGAAGAGATATTTCATGCCTGGTTTACAGATGGTTCTGGGTGATATGCAGGCACCACTTAAAAGTGGACAGCAGCAGCACTGCAGCCCCTTTCAGGGACCTCCCTGAAGGACAGTGGTGAAGGAAAATCCTCCCAATGGGCAGAAGTTCGAGCAGTGCACCTGGTTTTTCACTTTGCTTGGAAGGAGAAATGGCCAGATGTGCAATTGTACACTGATTCATGGGCTGAGCCCAGTGGTTTGGCTGGATAGTCAGGGACTTGTAAGAAGCATGATTGGAAAATTGGTGATAAGAAGGTATGGGGAAGGAGGTATGCTGAAAAAAATCTCTCTGCATGGCCCAAAGAAGTGAAAATATTTGTGTCTCATGTGAATGCTCACCAAAGGGTGACCTGACAGAGGATGATTTTAACAATCAAGTGGACAGAATGACCCATTCTGTGGAAACCAGTCAGTCTCTTTCCCCAGCCACTCCCATCATTGCCCAATGAGCTCATGAAGAATTTTGCCATGGAGGCAGGTATGGAGGTTATGCATGGGCTTAGTAACATGGACTTCCACTCACCATGGCTGACTTGGCTACAGCCACTGCTGAATGCCCAGTCTGCCGGCAGCAAAGACCAATATTGAGTCCTCGATATGGTACCATTCCTCGAGGTGATCAGCCAGCAACCTAGTGGCAAATTGATTACATTGGGCCACTTCTATCACGGAAAGTAGAGCATTTCATCATTACTGGGATAGACACTTATTCCGGATCCAGATTTGCCTTCCCTGCACACAATGCCTCTGCCAAAATTACCTTCCATGGACTCACAGAATGCCTTACCTGCTGTCAAGCTTTCCCACACAGCATTGCCTCAGATCAAGGACTCACTTCAAGTATGACAGTGGGCCCATGCTCATGGAATGCACTGGTCTTAACCGTGTTCCCCATCATCCTGAAGCAGCTCGCTTGATAGAACAATGGAATGGCCTTCTAAAGACACAGTTATGGTGCCAGCTAAGTGGCAACACTTTGTAGGTTTCGGCAATGTTCTCCAGGAGGGTATATATGCTATAAACCACTGTTCAGTATATGGTACTGTTTCTCCCCTAACCAGGCTTCATGTGTCCATGAATCAAGGGGTAGAAATGGGAGTGGCACCACTCACTATTATCCCTAATGATCCACTCACAAAATTTTTGCTTCCTGTCTCTGTGACTTCATGCTCGCAGGTCTAGACATCTTAGTTCCAAAGGGAGGAGTGCTCCCACCTGGAGAGTCCATTGAACTGGAAGTTAAGAATGCCATCTGGCCACTTTGGGCTCCTCATGCCTGTGGATCAACAGGCAAAGAAGTGAGCTACCATATTGCCTGGTGTGACTGACCCTGATTACCAAGGGGAAATCAGATTGATATTATACTATGGAGATAAAGAGGAGTATGTCTGGAATATAGGAGATCCCTTAGGAAGTCTGTTAGTACTACCATGCCCTGTGATTAAAGTCAATGGAAAACTACACCAACCCAATTCCAATATGACTGCTAATGGCCCAGACCCTTCAGGAATGAAG